TTTCTTGCGCGTCATTTATGCTTAGTATAGAATGAATGTAGTTTCAGTCGATCTTTCTACGAATACATCAGTCACACAATTCATTTCATTAGCAATCATTTTTCATTTTTACCTTCTTAATTGATTCGAATATACAAGTTGTTATGGCTTGACTGGAAATTGGTAGTTTGAGGTGTGATAAAAACTGTTAACATATTTTTTTTTATTTTTTTGTTTTTTTTTTCTTGGATTGAAGTTTTAATCTTGCTTTCTAGGACAAGGATAAGGCCGAAAAGCTGAAGCAGTCACTTCCTCCAGGGATTCAAGTTATCGAGCTGAAGTAGACGGAAATTTCATGTTTGTTGTTTGCGTTGTTGGTGATATAAATGTTTTCTTTTTATTCTGTACCTTATCAAAAAAAAAGTTTCAACCGTATTACCCGGATTTGCCTTGGGATAGATCTGAAAGGAAAATTGTTTGGAATAAAATATTGCTTCTTTCTCGTCGTTATTCTGTAATATGTAGTTTTACGCTGAGTTACTACTGTTCCTGAGGTTTTGCGCTCATAGCTAGTGACATGGGTCACGTTCATTTCTTGAGGAAATGGTCGTGAAGCTATGTTTGTGTTCTTTCCTTTGACTTGGCGAATGGAAAGAAGTAAGTAAGATGACCAGCATAAGGTGTAGAAGAATTTATTTCATTAAATTTAAGTATACTAAATGGATAAATATTCTTCGGAAATTGGGACTGAGCAATCTGAAGCGATAGAAATTGAGGGGAAAATTTTGCCAATGGAAACCCGTAAAGTAAACTGGCAAAAGACAGAAAATAAAAATTTTGTCGACATCTAAACATGGAAGCTGACTAATTGTAAGAATTGTGTTCGCATTGTGGGTCGTCCGGTGTGACAGCCATCCATGGACATTTCAAATTCATCTGACCACATGGATTGTGGCCTACCGCACAGTACCTGAATGGAAAGATTCAACCAGTATTACCCACTGAATGAGGATTTTGTTAAAAACACTAACCATTCATGGTAGAAGAACAGATACATCGTTATAAAGAGTACGGACACGTAGAAAATCAGAGAAATAATCTCTAGTCGTCGAATTACCGTTTGCCATTTGCTGTTCAAATCATCGAGCGGTTTGAGTTTAGCCACTTCTTGCCTTCAATGGATTCGAAAAGTTTACGAAACTGACTTTACAAGGCGGAGCTTAAAACTATTCGCTCAAGAGGAGTGCAATATGGTCATGTCAGTCGGTTAGTTGTACTTTGAATAGGATTACTACGATGCTTTGGTAAAAACTGTGTTGTTATTCAGAAAAATAGCGAAACGGGTAGCCAAGTCTCCTCGTAAACAAGCCCTACAACCCTATCACCCGAGGGTAAACCCACTCGGCCTGTACGCACCTTTGTGGCAAGGTAAGAAGGGTATCTTACTTGGAAACATACACGCACCTTATTCCTCCGACGTTCTTTTCGATCCTTGCAGCACAGGAAATAATGTCTTCGAGAACTTGTTCGAAGTACTGGTATAGTACCATATTATCGTACTGTGTAACGCTTAGCCGTCGTCGTAGATTCTGTCGCGGTGGAGTTGTCTCCTGAGTAAGTGGTTCATTATTTGTGTTTTTGCAAAAAGTCATCAAAACCTCGAAAATATTGCATAACAAGTCATGAACCGCTTTACATATTACTTGTAAAGGAGAAATTTTAAAGTTAGTACGAATTCGAAATGGTCAGTAGAACACTGCAGAGAGGTACGTTAAAGGTGGGTGGGCGCATATCGTTAAAGGCGCAGTTCACGATGATTTTGAGGTGCTCGTTTTTATTCGAAAAGCGGAAGTACAGATTAGGAATAGTTTATTGGCAGTTAAGAAAGCGAGAAAATTCGCCGATTTCGAGAAAAATTTGGCTCCTCAAAAGTAGAGAAAATAGAGGTTGGACGAGATTGCCATGAAGGAAATAACATGGGAGGATTATTCGGACGAGATATCAGTTATTGCAATTGCGCAAAGTGACTACATCATGCCAGAACTGTTCAGAACTGTCTGTCTTTCCCTGTCGCTATGGGTCAAGACAAGTTGTTTGAACTTCCTACAAGGGTTCCCCTTATGGTCGGTGCAGCCCTACAGGGCCGGTGAAACTCGTCCGAGGATACACACGCGCCAATTTTTGATCCTTTATAACTTCCTAACTAGCCCGTTTTCCAACCTAATAGTGCCAGATATGATATACGTGGAGGCTTCAGATTCATTCTGTGGGGGAATATCAGAAACCATTATCATCGTGAACTGTGCCTTTAAGATGCCATGCCATGGTTTCATTGAGAAGTTAGTGACTCAGTCCAGAATATCCTGGGGGTTGGCTAGGAGTTCATTGAAGTTATCAACCAAATACATTAACACTATAAGTTACTCGATCATAAATGCATAGTCGAGTCAAGCGAGCCTTCCAACATGCTTTGTTCCGCCATTTTGAAATGAATATGGATAATTCGAAAAAGAACTTGACTCGACTACGCTGCAGAATTGGGAGGAACAAAGAATTTGTGCGATCAAAATAGTTTNTTTGTACTAGTTGGAATTGTTACTCGTCGACTCGACTATACCTGTGAATTCGGTGGTGGCGGAATGTCTAGCTGATAAGTGTTATTCGCAGTAGCACGTGGAATGAGGCTGAGCAACGAGACAGCTACGCCTCTAGCTTTACCTTGAAGACCGGTACGCACGTGACCATTCGACAGCAGATGCTCCTGCAGACAGCACTTATTTAGCTGGGTTGGGAAGATACAAGCAACTTTCGAAGCGATTCTTATATCATCATAAGGTGCTTCCATACTTTGTCGCGCGACCGGCGAACGCGACGACGTGCAAGTCTGCCGCGCATTGAGAAGCATGCTCACATGGCTAGCACTGATGCAAGTGCTTCGGACAACGAAAAGCTCTCGTCTTCACACTTGAACCCCGCGAGTTTGACTGTGTACAAAATGGAGCGACGGTAAAAAGGTGGCGTATACTCGGTGTTCATTTTACTGCCTATAGTTCATAGTTTTCATTCACAACATTGTAAAACTCGGCGCGACGCGTGAATTAGTTACGCAGATTGGATTAGTTCAGTTTTACTCGGCGAATTTAAGGTGAAGTTCGCTTTTTTTTCTGCTGATAGCCAAGCGAATGGAGTTTTGGCAGTATTAACCTTCAACTATCGACTAAGTCTTAAGGCGAAATCTAGCTAGGAGGTTACGCTCATACTCCGGGTCCGAGCTAGCTGCCAATCCGTTAGGCGTGTATAGGCACAGTCTGCTAACAAAAAGTTGACCGGATTAGTCAATCGACCAGCAATGTATGTTATCTGATCATAGTTTGAAGCTGTAGTTAACTATTATGAATCATTACAAGTATGGAAACACCCAAAGTATGCTAAGAAACAAAAGCGTCATACCTCTGCTTGCGGGTCTTGTAGATGTCTACGGTAATGAGTGAAATTCCTGAAAGAATGTTGAGTATTTCTGATCAAGGAGCACTTAAGAACACATTCCGCGATAACGGGTCCATGAGGCTCATATACGAAGGAATGGGGCTGGGGCCATGGTCCGGTAGTGAGGAAAAACTAAAAGAGATAGCCGAAAAGCTTGTGTGCCGTCAGGTCAGACTGCCGTGGAGAAGGCGAATCTTTTGACCCCTACTCCCTTTATTAGAATTGAGAAAAACTTAGCATACAAACCTGCTAGACCGGCTCTTGGGAATCCATTGAGAGCAAGCTACCAATGGATGGATGGGTGGATGTATCGCGGAATGCGTTTTGAAGGCAACAAAGGAATTCACGAACCTTCCCATTCGTCTTCGTTGGACGTCAAACGACAACCACTCAAGATACCAAGGAATATCGTGCTTCACACGGACATCACGCTCCAAAAATACGAACATCGATGTGGTGACTGTTGAAAGACCGATAATGGCCAGTAGAATGAAGTAGTATAAACCTGAGCAGCAAACATAAATTAGTGGGCCTTGAAAGTGGCTTGGTAGAATGAATCTATTCAAATATCTTCTCCCACTAAGGTTTTCTCCTCCAGATTCGGAGACTTAGACGGAACGAGAATTCAGTGTGGGAGCCCGTAGTTACACTGACGGTATTGAGTAAATCAAACAAACCTATCAATGGGATTCCTGAGAATGATCCACGACCTTTTCTGTTTGCCGACATACTGAATTTTGGCATGTCTTCGACGATGGCGAGTAAAATCACGGACATACTCATCAACGTCATAATACCCAAACGGAATTTGGCGTCTCTGAAACGTCATCTGTTAAGAACTTCCATTTTTCATCCCCAATAACGTCATGGGATTCGACTTGGACTTGAGAATATTTGAAGGAGTGGAACTGCACCAGTGAAAGTCCATATGCACTATGACCGGCGTCATTCAGACAAACGTCATAGGTTTCATGTAAATTCCGAGAAATCGGTCTCCTGCTAAAATTTATGCTTAAAATGAATCCCCATGGGTGATAGGGGCGTCATGTGGTCAGTGCAGTCTTCCCACTGTCACAGAATTGGTCCAATTAGCATATTTCTATCTGTCCGCATGGACCTTTGCCACTTCTCCACTCGAATAGACGCTTACTAGAGGCTATACCGACACGGCATGATTGAATAGTTCAGGTAGCCCAGGTGAAGAGAGAGCTGCTGCAGTGGTCTCCTATTCCACCCCTGCTGAATTGTAAGGACCGAGTGTTCCGCTAAATACTCGACTTCAACCTTAATACGGCTCTGTTTGGGAAGTGAGCATTCTACTGAAGCACTAATCGAAGTAAAGAGCTTAGTCCTTACATAACAGATGGGTGTCGCGTCATGATTCTCGCTTCCAGCGTTTTATAATGGGTTAGCTAGCTGAGATAGGGGCATAAACTATACGGATTAGACGTAACCATCTTCCAGGACCATCGCCAAACGTCTTTTTGGTGGTGCTTCGATCCCATAGATCACATATAAATCATAATTATCATCGGCGACAAGCAGGGCTCAAGTAGAGGTGTTCACGAAAGAGGCAAGCTTTCCGATATTTATGATGCTGATTTTATCTACACTGGAAGGTCTTAATGGGGCATCCCCGGTGCGCGACTCATATCAGTATGCCCCTGACATAGGAAGCGGAAAAATCGATAAACGACGTTACGCACCTCATCCGTCCGCTTGTGCTCGGAGTATGAAAGCCGATTACAGCGACAAGAGTGATAATCGTGCTCGGAATCACCAAATTAAATACTGAAAAATTGTACGCAAGGATCAGTTTCCTCTGTATCGTTCCTAATGTAAAAAAGTCAAATAATATATGTATATCTGCGAATTAGTGATGATTTTAAAATGAATAACATGACCAGCCCAAAAATCGTGGATTTTCTCAGAGGAATAAAATTTCTTTCTAGGAAGATATTGGATAGGTTAAGAAGCTCAAAGAAAACCATAATTCGAGACGTAACACTGTGGAAAAGGGCATAATTCGGAGACGCAAAGTGGCCAAAAACACTTCGACAGCATAACACATTAAAAGGTGTTTCCANTAAAAGTAACACATGAAAGCAAGTGAATGAAACGAACCGTAATAAAAACTCTGTCGTTCGACTACAAGGTCGATAATGATCATTTCCCAAAACAATGGCGGATCCAAATAATCGTATAGAAATCCATTTGATTTTACGGAGCTTCGTACCTGAAACTCAACAAGTTTTCAAAATTCAGAGAAAAAAGGGGTATTTTAGACCACTAGGTTTAGTGGATCTACGGGAAACTTTGTCCCCCAATGAACGATCATCTGAAATGGGAGGGTCCACTGATAGTTTTTTTTATAACTTTCAAAATATTCTCTTTCTTACGAATGCAGTAGCCTTCCCAGCTCATAGGCGCTTTTCTCACCTCCTTCAAATTAGGTTTTATTGTTTTGATTGGAGTAGGCCTTTTTCTGTGATATGGGAGAAAACTCTTACCGTATCCAGTTCCCATTCTTGATTGTCATAGAAATCGATCAGTGAGAGCTTTGGTGAATAAAGCGAATACTTGATCGAATCATTTGAATGGGCCCACGAGCCGAATAATAAAGTGCATTGCTGCCTGAATTCATATCACTGTTGCTTTGCGCTCCACAAGAGAGGCTTACAAAAGTAGCTGCGCGCCGCAGCCGCACGCAGCTGCTCCTGGCGGCCTCGTTAAGGGTTGGAAATTTTGTGGAAAATAATACAATATACAGAAACAACTAGGCACTTACGTGTCGAACGGAAAGAATTTCACATCGAGTTTGCAGAGACTCTCTGAAGAGAATGGAATGTAGTAGCGCACATGGCCTGTATGGTTAACGCGTATGTCATTGTTCGATTGTAGTTTGACAACATCATTGAAGTTCAAGCTGAAATGAAAAAAAGCTGAGTGGTGGGGTAGAATGTCGTGAAATCACTGATCAGAACAGAGTTTCAATCGGAAAAGAGCAAAATACTTTGTGTCTCCTCGATCTTCATCAAGGCAGAGTCGAAGTTTTTTTGTGGAATTCCTTTTTCGCTCCTATAGGCGTCCTTTTTCTATTAGTTTTTCTCTAGTGATTATTTGTGCATCTACGGGTAACTGACGTTATCCACAGGTGGCTGGGACGCAAAGAGGCAGTTGAGAAAGTGCGATGAGACAACTAGTTAGTGAATGTCGGGCGCGGCGGATCTGGAATAATGCTACGGGTTTCCCAGCCTTCAGTCAGTGTGAAACTTTGCTTCACACCCTTAGACGCTCCTTTAAGAGGACATAAGGGTTCTGAAATAGAAAATGGCAGCTGCATAAAATATCTCCACGCTCCCTAATCATGGCCAGGGCTTCCTTCTCACGTATTGCCATTTTAAGCACGTGATATATAAAAAACTAGGGCTGCTTGGCCTTTTTATGGCTTAAGGACGACGTTTTGTGGCTGCACTTGCAGTGCCGTAGCATCAGTGTCTGTCTGTCAGCGATGTCTGCTTTTTGGTTGACGGACATCGCGCGAATTCCAGTTTTCGTGGAAATCATTTGAAGTTCATCCACTTGAGCTTATCGATGAAGACTTTAGTGGAAAAGAAGAAAATGGCGTGAGAAGGTCATTTTTAAGAGGAAAGAAAGAAATTTATGACATGTTCGAGGAGATGCCTTTGCCTATTCCCTTTCTCCGGCCGAAACCCGAAACGGCGGCTTCTTCCCTAGGCAATGGGATGAGATATATCTCAAAATCTAACTCGGTATTAGCTCAGGCTTCTTTTTATGTTTACTGTTTTAGACGAAGGACGATACGGTACCGGCTAATCCAACAGAGTCGAATGGAGAGTTGGACAACGTGGGAGCGGTTCTTTCCGACATTCGGTACGTGCACGCTTACTGTTACCCTGAGGCTACCTTCTAACGTGAACAATCAGTACTTCCGCGGTTTCAGAAGTGCCAGAAGCCCACACGGCCTTTGGATTCCTAATGGAACCCAATCTGGAGCTAAAATTGGAGTTAGTATTCAAATAAACGGCTTTTTTAGGCATAACAACGTGCATGAATAGACGGTTCGATCTCAATCATGAAGGCTTTGGGCAAGATTTTGGAAACTCACCAACTCTAACTGGTAGGTGAGCTTCAGACATTTTCATCCAGGGTGTTTCCTTTATTTTACTAAAGGAGTTTTCTTCTTCCCTTTCTTTTTTAAAGAATCCCTTTTTCAACTGACAATAAGATAGCGGAATCTTGCTTTTTCTAATCTACGGAAGACCTTCACGGCTTTTACAGAGAAGATATCATTGGCAACTGCGGAAACCTTTTGCGAACATTACAACACAATTTATTGCGTCCTCCAGCCACTAACAAAAAATTGCCGCAGGGAATTTGAAAAAGCATGAAAAATGTGCCCCCCGTGGGTTGACTAAACGCCAAAATCTCTGCTACCGCTAGCTTATACATGAAGATTCGGAAGAAAAATGCTAAAAAACAGAAAGGAAAAAGAAGGGCAAACTCTTTTTAATCCTGAGACATATGTTTGCTCTTCCAGAAATTCATTGAAGTTATACAAAACATTACTTTGCGTTTTTTTCCTTTTTTCGAAAAATGCTCACTTTGAGTGGAGTGCGTTTCATGGTAGTAGGATAAGTCTCAAGATTATGAACGATAGCGCAATCCGTAGAATATTTTGTGGGGGGGATTGACTAGAGCTGCGATTCATCCTTTCCCTGTCGATGGCTTAATGAGCGTCAGACATGGTGATCATTTCTTGTTTTCTGCCCTTTCAAAAGCGACTGGATCAGATTGCGTTCGTGTTCGAGGAAGTTCAACCGCGATCCAATTTATCTGGATTTTTCTATGTTCTGAGATTTAACGCCAGACGTTCTTCATTGGTCTAGGAGAGAAAATTTGAAAGGCTACCACTACACCCTTGGATCTTGGCCTTTGCAATGGTAGCTTTAAGGTAACTTTTTATTTAGTCAGCCAAGGGATAAGAAGATAGTACAAGACACCTAGCTTAACGGTGCCGCCCGGCAAAAAGTAAGTCGAGGAATGTAATGGTGGCATGTTGGGAACCCTGCGCAGGTTGTTACTGTGGAGATAGGTGATCTCAGAAAGAAAACAGAATCTTGTGGGATATTCCCACCTAACAACCGAGATGAGGATCTGCACAGTACCAATAATCGGTTATCCTTCTTATCCCACTGTCAATCGTGAAGCATACCTTGCATGCACCTCGGCTTACAAAAAAGGAACCAGTATAGCTACTTCTCACACTATACGAATCTGACTCTTCTTTGCTCGACCATTGAGTGTTTCTCAAATTTTCTAAAATACTTAAGGATGAATGTGAATTTCCAACTTAAGAGGGATTCTCCCTTGAGACCCAAGGTGATGCTTGATATCGCTTGGACGAGTTGAGCACTTGATAACGTAGTGCTCAAGTCCCAATCTCCAGAGCCCTAGGGCTTTTGAGGGGAGCGTTTCCGTCGAAGCGCTGAGCCATTGAAAGGATTGTTCCGCCTGGTAACCTTGAAAAGTCGCTCTATAGAAAACAAGTTTACAGAATGAAATTACATGCAGGTTAGAAGGGAAAATATGGGCTCAGTTGTTCAAATTGACTTTTTGAGACACTTCAAGACCTATTCCAATTCCGAAAAATCAGTGGTTCCAGTGAAATGACGAAGTATGTGTGGAAAACCAATGACACATTTGAAACCAGCATGAAATGAACCGGACTGGGGCTGTTTCTGATAGTGTTCACGCATTCGCCTCTACATGATTTGACGTTATGAATCATTCCTTCTCTCAGATAGGCTCGCCAAGGAATGACCTCTCATCGAACTGCTACTTTTATCATCGTTCCTATCTTGATTTGAGATCTTTTTGTCCTTTTTTTCTTCGAATCCTCTTGAAAGCAGGTTTTGTGAGTTCTGAGACAACTTTGATTTTGAAAAAACTGGAATATTTTCATCTAGATTATGAGGGATGGACTCCAGTTACTTTAACGGGTTGAATCGCCTCGAGGGTGTTCACTTGAAGAAACAGAGTCACTGAAGTTCTCTTTGTTTGGCGTCTTCCTATTCCCATGGGGTTTGGGAGATGACGATCTCATTTCACTTGAATCCGTTTATAAATTGACTTACAGGTCGCTGTTTATCTGTTGACTTGGTACAACTTAAGTTATAGATATATCACTACATTATATGAGCCACTGACTTTGCAGGTGTATGGATCTGGCGATTTGTCAGTTTGTAACGGCGTTGCCTTAGGTCTTTTTTGGTGCAAAAACCCGTCCATTCCCATGAAAAAACCAAGTGCTCATCAACCGGTATAAAACCAACTGGTGTCCATCGCTTGCTTTGATTTCTTGTCATCTTTCCGGTTGTCTGTTGTTTCTGCGTCAGAAAAGGGCTTCATCCTATAATGCAGTCCTATCGCTTACCTGTTTCCCCACATCTTCGGCAATTCGACAGCGCTTTTCGGCCAAACTGACTTGCATCGACCGGAATAGGTGGTATTCGAAGGTGTATAATGTTTGACGGCCGTTTTCGACTAGGGGATCCAACCATTTGTCCATATGCTCTTCGTAGCGGGTAGCAGTAACAGTTTCAGTTGGATTCATCAGCTTGAAACAGATAGCACCCTTCAGATTTACCAAATACAGAACATTGCTTTTTGGCCGTACACTAGTTGGCCTGGAGTCACTACTGCTAGATTTGGTTTTGGATTATCGCAGTAGATCCATTTTTCATCGCCTGTCATACTTTGACGGGGAAATAGGCCTTTTTGTAACCTTGAATATTCTTTGTTCTCCCACATGTTCATGCGTAGTCCTTCCGATCGCTTTCCTATCGAAGTCCACTGCTTTTTCAAGACTAGTCATGTGCTCTTTCCAGCCCTCGCTGCTCTCATATCCTCAGCTCACAAGGGCTTCTTGCCCGGCCTCTTTGATGTCTGCGTTTCTGACCCCTACATTTGCATCCGACCGCAGGCAGATCTCTTCATTAGAGAAAGTGAAACTGTTTTATAACCTTTGCCCAACACAATTCCTTCATTTTTCGGGCCGAGGAGGTTGGTATTATTCACAGTCAACTGCGCACCGTTCTGATAGGAAGTTTCTAACCTGTTTTTTTCCCCTTAACTGCACTTTAGTATCCGCTATCCGGTTGACTTATTGTGAAGGGTAGTTTTTAGCAGACCAGTTCCTCAGCTATGAAACTGGCTTGCTCAAAGAGTAGTGGTGAACAAACTTGTTCAAGGTAGAGGGTAAAAGACAAGCGAGGTTAACAATACCAACAAAAGTTGGGGTATGCCATCGAACAGTGACTGCCACACTCAATGGCTTTAGTGGTTGGTGAAAAGAATTGGCACTGCATGACAGACAAGTTCAGGAATGAATGAAAATGGAGGATGGTCGATGAATTTCGTTTCGTCGCATCGATTCCACAAGTATCTCGGATGTCATCCTCCTGTTCTACGTTCATTACTATTGTCGAGCGTCAGTATGCCCTTAACTTCAGCTTTGGAACGCCGTCGTCGTCGCATCGTAGCCCATGAGAAAGGATCCCACGGAAATCAAAAAGTCGCCCAACAGGGCACCGGATGGCAGGTGTTATCGTCAACGGCACGCTCTCGGTTCACAGCGAGAATTTCCTTTCAGTTCCCTAATGTCACGTCGGGGTGAAATATGTATTCTATATCGCTCACTATCATAAGAGATATTTAGAAAATCAGTCCGGTACCTATTTTTAATTCAGTCAGACAAAAAAGGTGGCAAAGAGATACCAATCACTTATGTGTAGCGTCTATAAATGTCATCCAATTTTCAGCTCAGCAGGATGAAAATCAACTCAGCTGTGGCCAAATTATTAACATTATTGTTTCCGAAACTCTGGCAAACCACCAGAAATTCAAGGGTGATAGGCACATACTTTGTGAGGCGCTGGCTCGATGTCTAATTGTAATAATTCTCGACTCCTCGCTCGAAAAACACCACCAAACACGTTTCCAGAAAAAATTATTCTACCAGTGAAAGTAAGTTGAATTAATACCATTCTGTCATACGGAGTTAGTTCCTGGCGTTGCCATCTTATTGATGACTGCCCATTGCCGTTCAAGGATGTGACGCAAAGATTCCATTATTAATTAACAGAACCACGTTACACTTTCAAGTGGCGTAGAACATTTCATTTCCTTTCAATACTTTTGCCTTCTCCTTTTTGTCTCCCAAATGACTATTAATTCATTGAAGTATTCGGTGTAGGTGAGCCCTGGTCTTGGAGGCAAAGGTAGTCGATAGCTATCCGTTGAGAACACTATTATGTCCAATGATTTCATGAGATGAAATGTTCGACTCAATGAACCTAAGTAACGGAGATGTAAGAGCTATAAGAGTTTTTTTTTTAAACAAAGGCAAATAGTTTGGAAAAGTCCCAGGTAGGGTGGGAAGTCCCAGGTAGGGTGGAAGGTACTGCTTAACCAGGACAAGGAAGGGAAAGAGAAGAATATCTCTGTCTCTCTTATTTCCAGCTTTTTCTTCTCAAAACAAACGTCTCCATAGAACAGAAGGAATGGGTGCCCATCCGGGTGACGCCACTTACGTCTCTTGTTTGTCAAAATAAGAAAGCATCAGATGATGTACACCCTGACCACACTCTTCACTAAATTCCTGTCAAATGGGGTGGAAAGGGGAAATTGCAAAAAAGTTGGAAGGAAATGAAGTGTGTGGTGTTCATACATCTGACGCCTGTCATTTGGTAGTGTAGTGTGGTTCCTGTCAATCAGTAACAATGTCTCTGAGTCACTTACGCCCTAAGGCGGCAATGTTAGGCGTCGATGAGAATGCAGTCCATATGAAAACTCTATTCAGGGACAACAGGGTCTTCACTTCTAGTAAAGTTGTCTTACTAGGGAGTGCTTCCTTTGATCGAAATGCAAGTATCCTTATTGCACGCATCCGGGCGGTTAGTTGTTCTCTTGCTACCCCATGAGCTAGGCAGGATATATTGAGGGACACTGCGACTGGTCGGGGTCTTGACTTTTCTAATTTCAGCGATATACTACTCTGAGGATGACATTTTGAAGTTGAAGTTAAGGGTGTACTGGTTGTGATGGAGAGCAGTGAACATAGACAAGTCGAGCCAAT